GGCAGCACAGCCTGCTGGTGTATCCACCACTCCTCCCAGTTTGGTGTCATCAGCAAACTTGCTGAGGGTACATTCTAACTCTTCATCCAGGTCATTGATGAAGAAGTTGAACAAGGCTGGGCCCAGTACTGACCCCTGGGGGAAGCAGGGGATCAGCTTCCCTGGAATTTAGTCTCAGCTGCTGTTATTTCACCACGTAACCTGTGCGCACTGCAACATCCTTTCCCACGGCTATGGCTACAACTTCACCTGCCCACCTCACCGGAGCAATGGGTCGCTTCGCTAAGCAGCTACACAGCAACCGACCCTTCTGGCAGAGAAGCAGCGCAGGGAAACGCATGGTTAGGTTGGTGGAATGGTAACGGCGAGCAAAAAAAAAGTTCAAGCGGCCCAGTGTGGACTGACAGCATCACTTTCGTTTAGGAAACAGTTCAACTCATTCACTGGAGATCAAGCAGACCTACACCGTCATTTGGCACAAGCTTTAGAAGCGAGCTGGAATGATGGATGAGCTATCACCCACGTGCCTCAGATGGAGCCGGTACGAGGCGGTGATGCTCTCCCTCTCCTACCTCCCGGGAGCGCCCGGGTGGCGATGGCGGCCGCCCATGTCCTTATTGACTCCATTTCCTTCTTAATTCCCTTATCGATCTGCTCACTGCGCGCTAGGCAGGTATGATGTTTTGATCTCCCGTACTTCTGACGGTGCTGCCGCTGGATTGCGAAGCCTCTCGAGGAGCTTGCCGGTGAGGTTACCCAAGGGAAATCAGGGAAGCCTGTTGTGTTAGCACCTGAGCTGCTGGTCTGCCTACTCCCCGATGAGGACATTCGTGGAGCGAGCGGTGCTTCAGCTTCCCAGCTGTTCTTCCATCTTCAGGTCAGGCCAGTGGCCAAAAATACCCTGAACCATCAAAATCTGGTCAGGATATTCCAGCTGCTACTTCCTTCTCTCTAATTGTAGAGTAATTGGTCTACAATCAGAGCAGTGATTGCACAGCTGGAGTCCGTGAGGATGGGTAAACAGCTTGGTCGTGAAATCCGTTCTTATCTGCGCTGTCTAGGGTCCCCCACTTTATCCACCACCACGTTGCCTGTCCCTCATCCATCACCTTCCCCTACACACAACCCAGCCTACACACAACCCCAGGTGTTTCAGAAGGGGTATGGCTGAGGGGAAAACACAGAACACAATCCTCAGCAGGAGAACACGCTACTGTTGCATTGCTTATTACACAGCCCCCAGATAATTTCCCTGTGACAGGGGTGGGAAGAAGGGGTAAAAATAAAGAAAGCGTAAGTGCAGAGAGATGAGGTGGTGGGACCAAGTAACTCAGCTTCCCAGGGATGGAGCCAGCAGGAGACTCCCAGCTCCTGGTCTGCACTGCGGGTCAGAGAGCGAACGCACAAGGCGGGGACAGGGGCTCGCTTTTCGAAAGTGCCGGTTAATCCCAAAATCACTGAAGCAAGTGGTGCCAGCGAGACACCCGAGCACCCAGAGAAGAGCACAGTTGGTTCTGTGTGGCTCCAAGCCCCGATCAGGCTTCAGATGCTCTATAAACAATACCACCAGCACAAGCCGTGCCATCTAATAAAGCTGAGGAAATGTTTACAACCAGTTCTCAAACCAGACTCTTGCATAATTGAAACACTGCGGAGCAGAAGACAGCATTATAATGATAATAAATGGGTGCTGCTGAGTTCGAGAAGAGCAAAATCTTTTGTCAGCAAATGCCATTTGCACACGCAGAGCCAGTGTCGGTAGGAGCAGTTATGTTACTCTGTACACTGGCACGTTCACTGGTGGGCTTGGATAATTTCTGTCGGCTCCTCTTCTTTTTAACTCGCACTGGGCTTTTTTGGTAAGTTGGAGAAAGTTCAGAGACTAGCTACAGGAACAACTGGAGGACTGCAGAACCTCACGGAACGCCGAAAACACCAGCAGCTACATCTGTGGGTTGTATCAAACAGGAGGAGTTGATCACTCTATGGAAAACAGACTTTTGGTAATGGGATCTTCAGCGTGGCATTCACAGATGTAAACAAATCCAATGACTGGAAGCTGACGTTAAACAAATCAGACTAAAAATAAAGGAGCACATTTTCAACAGCCAAGGTAATTAACCTTCAGTACGATTTATTGATGGTTGTGCTGGATTTTCCATTCCTGGAAACATTAAAAAGTAGGATGGAGGTTTTTCTAAATGACTTCCTAAATGCCCAGCATGGTAATACAGAACAGGATGCCACTCCAAAAAGCTAAAAATCACCTTCACCCAGGCTCAGGCCCTCCTCGGTGACAATGAACTCCTGTCCTGCCAGCTTAACCTGGGGGGGCTGGGAGCCCTTGGGAGTGGTGTAACCCTGTCAGCTGGCCAGAAGACAAAACATAGATGTCATTTCTGGAGTTTCCTGCCACACCACATGTCAGGAAAGAACACTTCTTGCACCTCCTGACATGCCCTATGGAGCTGAGCTCTGCCCTTGCTGTCTATCAGAGCTCTTCTTCACCTTGTCTGTCCTTCCCACATATGCTTTTCTTCCCAAATACATTATCTGCACCGTCCATGTTTGCTTTCCCTTGCCACCAGCCCCACCCCACGCCCCTGCCTCCTTTTCCGTGCACTCCTTCCCCTGAGGGGGTTGTCCCTTCTTCCAAGCCCCCAGGATGAGACGGGAGAGGTTTGGGGAACTGGGGTGACCTGCTTGCTGCAGCCAGCGCTGCCCGGGCAGCGGGGAGCAGCCGAGGCCCCGGCTGAGCTGCACTAACAGCACCGGCAGGAGCAGCGAGCGGAGGGAGACCACTCGCAGGGATTGACCCCATCCCGCAGGTGGTCTGGAGGGTCCTTCAGACACACCACAGGAGACGTCCCATCTTACAGCCCAGCCCTGGGCCCAGATGTACCACGCATCTGCAGGGAAGGCAATTCACCCTCCTGCTTCAGCCTCCTCCGGTACAGAACCACAGTAATGATATTTACCCTGCTACTGCACAGGAGCATTTTCAGGATCAATTAGTTTAGTGTTCATGCAAAGCTGTGTGGACAGAAGCCTCATACAAGTAGTAAGTGCTATTATTATTACTGCACTTCAGATGGCTACAGCACCGGCATTTTCCAGGCACGCACCATTAACAATTTACAAAGATAAATGGCCCAGGAACCTGAAAATGCATTTATGACAACCACCTCCCGCTCACCAGCATACATTCCCTCGAGTAAATGACACCTCATTGCTCAGCGTGTAGCTACGGCAACATTTCTATCGTCTCATGTGTTGAATCACAGAATCACAGAATAGTAGGGGTTGGAAGGGACCTCTGTGGGTCACCCCGTCCAACCCCCCTGCCGAAGCAGGGTCACCTACAGCAGGCTGCTCTGGGGGCCCCCCCCCCCCCCCCCCCTGCCGAAGCAGGGTCACCCAGAGCAGGCTGCACAGGACCTTGTCCAGGCGGGGCTTGAATATCTCCAGAGAAGGAGACTCCACAACCTCCCTGGGCAGCTTGTTCCAGTGCTCTGTCACCCTCAGGGGGAAGAAGTTCTTCCTCATGTTCAGCTGGAACTTCCTCTGCTTCAGTTTGTGCCCATTGCCCCTTGTCCTGTCACTGGGCACCACTGAAAAGAGCTTGGCCCCATCCTCCTGACACCCACCCTGCAGATATTTATAAGCAAGATGTACTGAAGCTCCACACACACACACGTGGAGCTGGAGGGCAGCCAGGCTCCCCCATTTACTGACAGGCAAACACCAAGCCAGGGAACTTCCCCAGCCCCGGGAGCTGAGGGTGAAGAGCAAGCAGCTCTCCCCACGCCCGGCAGGGATGGCTGGGCCAGGGGCATGGCCGGAGCCCCAGCAGGCCCTCGCGGGACTTACTTGAGAGCAGTTTTGTAGTGGTAGATCGCCTCAACGTTACGGCCTTGGTCTTTCAGAAAATTGGCGTAGTTGTAGTGCACCTTGGCGTTGTGGGGCAGGGTCTTCACTCCCGAGCTGCAAAGAGGAACAGAAGCGGGACGGCGTTAGCGGGTGGCGTTACCTCACCTCCCCCCAAGGTCTGTCTTCTTTTCACGGTCCCTTTTCTGAGAAGTTTACTTAGATTTTGAGCGCCTGGTCACCTCCTGCGCACTCGTGCCAACACAACTCCTGTTACAACCCCGAGCTCGCCCCACGCATCGGCACACCACGTGCCATCAACCTGTGGCAGAGATTCAGCTTGTCCTGGCTGCTGTCACCGCAGGCACCTCTAGCACCAACACCGCAATGCTTCCTGTGGCCAGATGCTGTCATATTTCAAAATCTGAATTATTCCATTGAAACACCTTAAAAAGGCTAATATTCACGGGGGAAAGTATGTAGTACTTTCTAGACTACAGCCATCACAGCCTCCCTGCTTAAACCTCGGCGTCATGAAGAGCCTTATGAAAATCTTGATTTAAATCTGTCGGTGGAGGCACCAGAAAGAGGGTACCTTTTCCATACTCATCAGCCACTAGAGGGGATGCACAGCATACTCTGAGTACCCAGCCGGCACGTAGGCACTGAGCGGGGTACGGCCAGGAGGCAGGGGCAAACGGGACTCTCGCCCTTAGCTGGCAAACTGGACGCTCGCACGTTATAACCCGTGACTGTGGGCACGTGGCTGCACAGCCACCCTATCCCTCCCCTCCACCTCCCCTGCCACGTAGAGAGGACTCAACGTTTGGAATTAACAATGAGGGCACAAAGGCAAGAGGAGAGGAGCAAGCATATCACAGAATCACAGAATCACAGAATAGTAGGGGTTGGAAGGGACCTCTGTGGGTCACCCAGTCCAACCCCCTGCTGAAGCAGGGTCACCTACAGCAGGCTGCACAGGGCCTTGTCCAGGTGGGTCTGGAATATCTCCAGAGAAGGAGACTCCACAACCTCCCTGGGCAGCCTGTTCCAGTGCTCCGTCACCCTCAGAGGGAAGAAGTTCTTCCTCATGTTCAGCTGGAGCTTCCTCTGCTTCAGTTTGCGCCCATTGCCCCTTGTCCTGTCACTGGGCACCACTGAAAAGAGCTTGGCCCCATCCTCCTGACACCCACCCTTCAGATATTTGTAGGCATTTCTAAGGTCCCCTCTCAGCCTTCTCTTCTCCAGGCTGAACAAGCCCAGTTCCCTCAGCCTCTCCTCGTAGGGGAGATGCTCCAGTCCCCTCACCATCCTCGTAGCCCTTATTGACTTAATTGCTTATTGACTTAATTGAGAGCACAGAAGGCAAGGTCTACCTTGCACGGCTAGAGGAAATGCCGTTTCAAGGTTAAAGAGAGAAAGAAATCACAGGAGCACGTACGCCATGGGAACATATTCCCTGCAAGCATCCAAAGAAGTTGTTACTCCATTTAACGGGGGACTCCTCTCCAGCACATAAATAGGGCTCCCCAAGGTAACGGGAAACGAGGATGGATGAACCTGCTCATGTGAAAACAGGCAAAGTGCTGTTTCTCGCTCACAAGCAGATCGCTGCCAGCCGCTGTCTTTTCTCCCCCCATCATCTCTGACCCTTCTACCTCCGGTAGGAAAAGCAGGGCCCAGGAATTTCCCAAGCCTGGCTGCTTTGCCTTGTCTGTCTCTCCTGTTTAACTTTGGTGGGCATGGCAGTTGACTGGGGTCGCACACCCTCTCCCAGAGGGCTGGGAGAAGGCACCCACAGCTGCAGAAACCCTTTGTCGGGGATGTCATTGCAAAACGGTGCTGGAGAATTGCAGTGGCAAATAGGATAACTTTTCGGTTATCTGCAGCCAGTGGTCTCAAGCATCCCTAATGCCTACTTGTGAGAGCTTCCAAAGCTTCGCCCACGGCTGCCTTACAGAGCTCAGCACAACACAGCCACGGTTTGCCTGCTGAAATTAAAACTACACCCTGCGTTTGGCTTCCTAATCAGCAGGTACTTCCAAATTACTTACTGGGAGCACTACAGGAATAAGACATTTTGTGACTAATCGCTGAATTAAATCAGTTAATTGATGCTATTCTTAAGAGAATGATTTTCTATATTAGTTTTCACAAAGATATACCGCACCAGCAGCCAGTAATGTGTGACTGCCATGGCTGTGTTAATTTCCATTGGCCTTGGGAGCTATTAACTACACACTTACAACCTCTGGGCATTACTGGAATATTAATTCTCATACAGAGAGGGTTTCACGGCATCAGTGCCAGCGTTAGAGGCAGGGACACGGACAGGCCCTCCGAACGGCTGCTGTCTCCGAGCTATGTGCTCTGAGTTGCTGGCTCTGCCATAGCCCCTGCTGAAAGAGCGCAAACCGAGTTAACGATGAGGACTACATTACATCTGCACAAGTACCGCGGTTCTAACGAGATACAGTTTTAACAGTAAGATGCATATGTTTAAATATTTTCATTCTAGACTGTTTGCCTTGAAGTAGAACTTCTTCTTAATCCTGCCGGTCCCATTTATTAAAACATCTCTCCTAAAGCTTCTTCCGTCCGCGTGCTTTGGGCGGGGGGGACATAGGACAGACAGAAATCGGTTCGGGTTCTTACGATGTCCCCTTTGGCATCACGCACTCCCTGACCCATTTCTTCTCCTCGCATGGGCAGGGAGGGGGGTGTTTCATTTTGCAAGTGCGTGTAGCAACGACCGGGGCTGCTCGGAGTCTCTGCACTGTGGGAGGTAGCAGCGAGCACGGCGCTGGATGCAGAGGGGATTTTTTAGGAGTGTTTAGGTAAACGCTCCTGCTAACTGATTCTTGACCAGCCGAGAACGCTGTTTGCTCGTTGACGGAGGAAACAATCATGTCCATAGCGAAAGCCAAGCAGGAAAGGGTGGAGTATAAATAACAAAGCAGAACACAATGTTTTTCCATTTCTGCTTCCCACAAGCCCCCAGATTCTCACAATTTCAATCTAATTTTTCAGTTTGCCCTTCCAAACTCTCCTCTTTCCCTCTTCCCCAGCCCAACACACACGTGCCCTTCTGAAAACCTACGGCACCAATCTGGCTCCAGCCAGAAACAAGCCCACCGAGATCGGACGTCACTTCTCTGGAGAATTTCCTTCCCTTCTGACTTCTACGGCAGCAGTACACGATGTACGTGGAAAATCAACAACAGGCAACCCCTTTTACGTTACACTTCCTCTCCATGGAAAGGCAAAAAGCCTATTAGCTGTAAACCAGAGAAATAAAACACCACTGGTATTTTCCAACCTCAAATACCCAAAGCGTTACCCAAAGACCACTTCAGCTGGGAAAGGTCTCCTGCGGTCCCCTCTGTTGTTTTCCTCAGTGCACGCTCTGCTCTGCAAAGTGACTCCGTGCAGGGCAGAGGCTTCATTGATTTTCTGAGATTTCCACATGAAAAGCGCTCAGTTTGCAAGGAAATGAGGCCACTCCTGCCCCAGCAAGAGCCCTGGGAGACGGATGGGGTCTCCTCTGCTTTGGGAATCACTGCCATCAATAAAGGTTCCCTACAGCAAACGATTCTCTGGATGACACAACCAACCGCTTTCCTCGGCCTCCTACCCTTGTATCGATTTCACGGATACCAGTGTTGGGCCATATTCAACTGTTGTGCAGAAGATGCACAAAATGCAGTAGGACTTGCTCTCCTCAGCTGAGCTAGCTTTCAGGATTAACAAAATAGCACAGCAGTAAATGCCACCTTTGGGGCCGGATTGGTTTTTGCAGATTACTGAAGTCAGCAGACCCGACTTGGGAGGGAAAGCTGCTGACTAAGAAAGTGCCACTTTTTATACAGCTCCTTTGCAGGTTCCTACTGCGTTTCCAGGCTCTGTCACGAACATGGGCAGAGCATGCAGATGCTTTCCAGGAGCAACAGGAAACATGGCAGCTTGACAAGCCTTGAAAAGGTCGGCACAGCGGATGCAGAGCTCAGCCCACAGCCTTCACCTCCCTCTCCCTGGCTTCAGCCATTAACACCGACTGCCACTGGAGCCTGACCTCCGGGCCTGTGCCTTCGCTCCACAGGGTAGTTCCTTAAATATTTAACAAATAAGCCCTACCTGCCCACCTGCCACTACAGTAAGACAAACTGCTCGGGGCTTCTAGAGCTCTGTTAGAATCATGTGCCTCAAATATCTAGATCTCTACTTATTTGGTCACTGCTTCTCCTTGTGGTTCATTTGCTTCTCGTTTAGTCCTCGCGCATACACTCGTGCACCCGCGTGGAGATGCACCCTTTCCTCCAACACCAGCATCGTCCCCCATGCTGCTCCTTTCAGCCAGGACCTGGCGGATTTCTACCTCCAGAACACTTGGCCCCTGGGCGGGAGACTGCGAGTCAGGATGGCCCAGAGATGGCAACAGCGATGCCGCGCAACGTCCAGGCGAGGTAAGCCTTGAGAACAAGGCAAAATGGGGTACGAGCACAAAACCAGTAACATGCTGAGTATATGAACGTCTCCTGGAGCAGCGCAGAGGAAGTGCGTGTAACACAACTGGTCTCAGCCAAGGGAACCGAGACAGATCAACCCCGAAGAAACACATCCAAGCAAATGGAGGAATGGAAATTAGAGGTGAAGGGAAAAAAAAAGTAAGAGGAGGGGAAAAAGCAGTAATTAATTAAAGCAGCAACTGGAGAAAGAAGAAAGAACCACCAGGAATGGGAGTAAACATTGTCTCAGCACATACCTCTTAAAAAAAAAAAATTCAATACACAGAGACTACCAAATAGGTTGATTTATGTCTCCTTTCCCATATCTATAGATTTGCTCTGTTTCCTTATTCTTTTCCCTCGTACTTCTTTACTGTTGCTTATCTCCGCCTCCTGCTTTGTCCTTTCTAATTTATTGCTTTTGCACATGCCTCCATCCACTTCTGCCTCCTCTCCTCATCACCCTATATATAGCCTCCTCCTTCTGCCCCAAAGAGTGGACCTCCCATTCCTAGGATGACATTATCTTCTTGCTATACTATTCTTCTTCTGCATTTCCTTTCCACCAACAAGAAGAGTCCTACCATATTACAGACTCATGAGAGATGTATAACACCTATCACAGATGATCTTAAAAGGACAACAAAAAGGCCAATATGGTTAAATAGCATAGTAAAGAAGGCTATGAGAAATGAAAAAAAAGAACTTTAAAAAGTGAACGTTATAGCTACAGAAGGGAAAAGGAAAACAGTATAAACTTCAGCAAGTTAAACACAAACCATAATTAGGCAGACCAAATGAGATTTAAAGAAAATCTTGCTAAAGCCATCAAAGCTAATAATGGAATACAACAGATATAGGAAAGCTGCCAAAGAACCCTTAAGGCAAATAGATGACGGAGGTCTAAATGTAGTGCTTGAAGAAGAAAAGGCCAAGGCAGAGAAGCTAAATGGATTATCTGCACCAGTGCTCACTACAGGGGAACTGATGGAGGTTCCCACACGGGAGCCTTTCCTTACAGGGGCAAGTCCGAAGCACTGTCTCAAACCACAATGGCAGTAAAAGAGGCTTTAAAACAAATCAACACCAAGAAGAGTTCTAAATCCATTGAGCCTAGTAGTATGCATCCGAAGGAAATCAAACGTGAAGCTGCTATGGGCTGCGGTACATAACCTAGCATTTAAATGTGGCCCAGCACTAGAGGAACGGGAGGTGTTGAACATGACGTCATTTGGCTCCAGGGGAGAGATCTGGGGAGGAACAGACCAGCAAGTCTGATTTCTGCTCCAGGTAATTTGGGGAAAACCTTAATAACAGACTAGTTCTAACAACTTCTGGATAACTACAATCCAACAGAGAATAATTAACTTTGTATTTTGCAGAAAGAAGTTAGGTGGACAGATCTGTTGTTCTTTGATGGACTCAACAGGTAGGTGGTACTGAAACTATGGAAAGGCTTTCTGAAAATCCAAGTATAGCCCAGTCAGTCAGAATCCCGTACATCAATGTTGTGCACTTGAATGTTCAAGAAGGCTTTTGATAAAATCCCTCGCGCTAAAGACTTCCAATTTCTTAAAGGCGTACGTACATCAATGTTGTGCACTTGAATGTTGAAGAAGGCTTTTGATAAAATCCCTCACGCTAAAGACTTCCAATTTCTTAAAGGCGTTGTCGAGTAAGAGGGAAGGTCCTCTTGTGAATCAATACCTAGTTGAAAGACAGCAAGCAAAAAGAGCAGGAGTACGTAGACAGTTTTTACAGCTGGAGAAGACTTCAGGTAGGATTCCCAAGAGACATGCACTGGCATCTGAGTTGCTTCACGTGTTCACAAAGCATCTGGAAGAGGGAGTAAACAGCGAGGCAACACGTTTTGCTGATGACACCGATGTGAACCACACTGCACGAATGACAGCTAACTACAAAGAGTTGCAGAAGGATCTCACGGTACCGAAGGCTGGGCAAGAAGATGGCAGATGAAATGCAACTCTGGTACAGGCACAACTATGAGAGAGTGTGTACACACATGCTCTAAATCGGCATAAATGTGCACAAAGATTGATGTCTATAAACCAGACACTTCCACTCACAATAGTTATCTTGGAGTTCCTGTGGACAGTGCTGTGAAAATATCACCCAGGGCTTAGGAGAGGTCACAACAAGGCAAGTGAAAGATTAGGAATTAGTAGGAGAAGAGAACAAAAACCAGGAAAAAAAACTGGAAATGAGACATGAGCATTAACAGGCAGGGTAATTAACTATTCATGTAGCTTATGAAGATATGCCACAGGTCTTTGCTCGCTTGGAGCTCTTCAATCCAAAATGCAGGGGTTGACCCAGTGAATACTCCTTTTTCAATGTGCTTTAGTGAAAGGTCTGTTGTGTGAACACCTAAGACCTGTGTTCTGGTGGTGGTCTGGCTAAACAGGCCTAACAGCGCTGCTCAGCACTGAAATCTCGGTCACTGGGTTGCACACATGGATGTGAGGTTAGGATTTGGTCTTTACTGATGAAGAAAATCTAGAACATTACTGTGCTGCACATATCTCTTGAAAGGTGATTCTGTTCTCCTTCTCCAAAGGACAGATTAGAGTTTGAAAGCATCCAGTGAACGCTGGCAAGCAGGATCAGAAATGCAGAACAGCTTCCACGCGAGGAGAGCTCAAAACCATCAGACTCCAGCACGAAAAATAGACAGCCGTGTGTGAGGGCATGGGGATAAAGGCATGGCAGGCAGAGGACGAGTGATGAGCTGATGGTCACTCACTGCTCATTCAGCACACCAAACAAGATCATCAGGCAGCAGGCTCAGAGCACACAGAAGGGAAATCTTAGCACACACTGTGTAATTTAATGACAGAGCCCAGCGCACAGGATGCTGTAGAAGCCAACACTATAAATAGATTTGAAAAAACAGTCTGAAATATTAATGGAAGAAAAGTCCATCAGTGGCCGTTAAAAGCAAAAAAAGCAAGTAACTCCTGACTCAGGAAGTCTTTAAACTGCAGATTACTGCAAGCTGGGAAAGGACTGGAGAGAAGCATCACTGTTGCTGGCCCTGTTCTTACATTGCTTTTCGAGGCATCTGCTGCTCATTGCTATCAGGGGCAGGCCATGATAAGAGACATCCCTGCAGGAGCACACTTACGTTCTTGCCTTCTCCTCAAAAGCCCAGGGCAGATCTGAATATCTCCAGAGAAGGAGACTCCACAACCTCCCTGGGCAACCTGCTCCAGTGCTCCGTCACTCTGAGGGTGACAGAGCCCTGGCCCAGGCTGCTCAGGGAGGCTGTGGAGTCTCCTTCTCTGGAGATACTCAAGACCCGCCTAGACAAGGCCCTGTGCAGCCTGCTCTGGGTGACCTTGCTTCGGCAGTGGGGTTGGACTAGATGACCCACAGAGGTCCCTTCCAATGCCTAACACACTGTGATACTGTGATCTCTCTCCTGGAATTTTCCCCAAAAGACCTGAGCTGAAGGGCAAGCCAGCTCGACCCAAGCCACTGCATACTAGCCTGGGCAACACCAAATCCCTACCTTGGGGCAAGGTGTATTCGCTCTGGCTCAGTGCTGCACTGAAGCAGTGGCAAGGTTTTTGAATTTGTGATGGCTTGTAGATGGCCACCCTGCTTTGAACAGAGGTAGGACAAACAGAAGTCCATTTGAGTTCAGCTAAGCAGACACAACCTTCCCCTTCTCTTCTGCAACAGACCCCCTGGCACCTCACGTCATCCCAAGAGTGCTCCTTAGTAGGAAGAGATGTCCTCCTGTCATCTGCTCCAGTTCCACTTCTTTGTTCTTAAACACGGGTGACCACAACGGTACGCAACACGATACCAGATGATGCCTGCAACTCAGCATACGGAATTGCCATCTTTCCACCCTCCTTTTGACAAGGGAGTCGTCCTTGTCCACCTTTCCTCCGAGCGGCCACCGTTAGCCAGAGGGGTTTAGACGGGAGGTGTGCTCCACGGGGATCGCTGCGCGAATCCAGCCCAGTCACCATGGCTGCTATTGTTTGAATAGCAAACAGCGTTTCAGGGAGATGGGCAATGAATCATGTCAGAGCGAAGAAACCCTTATTCCAGATATTTTTGAAAAAAAATCCCACTAACAGAGCTCCAACCACTTCAACAGAGTTTCCTGAAGACCGAAGGGTACACATAAAAAATAATTTCATACTCTTCAGTGCTGCGTAAATTAAACTTTGCTCTGGCCAATAAGTCAGAAAATAAAGCTAAGGAACCCGTGTGCAGATCACCTGTGTTTCTGCAATTACTTCACAATTAGACAACTGCTGAAAGCAGCTGGAGGCAAATGCAATACATTTGCTAGCAAAACACAAAATGAAACAGTCTGTTTCAGTGCAAAAAAATATATATAAATGAGGCTGTAAAGAGAGCCGTTTGGCAAAGAGTAATCAAATAGAATGAAATATGGCACATTAAGTTGGGCACCTCATGACATTTTGTTTTTGTCGTTAAGAATATCACTAAAAAAATTCCATCTATTCAATACCGTTACTATGGTGTTCTGGAAGGTTGCAACAAACTTTTGCTGTCTTTAGAAAGGAAAATGTTACGTTACTGGTAACTCTACAGAACTGAAGTTATTTAAAAACAGCGTGTCTTCAACGCAACTGCCAGAACCAAAGTTTGCACATAAGCATACAAAGTGCTGACACCAGTTTTTGCGCAGTTGCCAGCGAACAAAAAGGACGCGTTATTTTATACTCATCAAAACGTTAATGACAGCAACACATCAATAGCAGGACTCGTGCTGAAGAAAAATATTCCATGTACCAAACCTATTTTAAACAATACGCAAATGCCAGCGTTGTCCCATGACTGCACATACCTGAAGAGGGATTCTCGTGACAGCCAGATCTCATTCTGTTTCACGGTCTTCCAAGAGAAGAGCAGCAGCAGTAAAGCAAAGAGGGTCAGAAGAGCAATCCTCCACTTATTTAACCACGTAGACAGCTTTTTCAGACCGTGGACAAAAAGGATGCAGTACCCCATACTGGAAAAAAAGAAAGGAAAAGGAAAAGGTACCAAGAGTCCTATTCCAGCGCTCTGGTTTATACGCAAGACCATCCAGCGTTGCATTTATTACACAATTACACGGAGGTTTGGACTAATTACATTTTCTGGGCTAACTAACTCCAATTCAACAGCGGTTTTCCTCAACTCACTCCGCAATTTCCAAATTAATGTCAATAATAGACCCAGATGCCAGAAGTACGGCAGCGTACATAATACCACCCAGCGTAACAGCAGTTTCCACAAGCCCACGGAAGGCAGCAGCTTTTCAGAACAGCAAGCTCAGAAAGCATCATGTAATAACAGCAACACCGAGCACCGCTGGAGCAGCAGGGAAGTGAAAGGCTTTATAACATAGAGAAGTCTCTAAACAACCCCCACGGTGGCCGCTACCTATTCCAGTTTACCAATTCCGACGGCCGCTACCGATTCCAGTTTACCAATTCCGACGCTGAGGTGGGAGAGGGAGCGTTGTAGCCAACGCCGTGGCAGAGCCCACATCGAAAGCCAGCAGTCCCTTCTCGGGTCTTGCACACCTGCAGCAGGGCCAGCCCGTCCCTTCCAGCGCCCGGTGCAGAACAGTTGAGACGCAGTAGCAGAGTTTTCTTGCTGCCCTTCCATGAAACCACACACAGCCTTCTCCAGCTCCCGAGCTGCTGGCACCTTCATGGCTCTCCACGCGTAACTACACCGAGGCATTTTCTCTGAAGTAAACCGCATCTTCAGCTGAAGTCTTATTCCTGCCTAACTTTAAATCACTTCAGTAATTATTTACCTTAAGTGTTAGGTTAATTCTTCCAGTGATGCCCCTCTGAGTTGGAGATGCAGTGCTTTCAGTTGCTGTACTTCCTACCCCCACTAATTCTGCTTTGCATTCTTAAAAAGTAATTTCCATTCCTATTGCTTGAGGAATTTCATTAGTTTATCTATAGCTGTTCAATGCAGTTGCTTAGCACCTGATTTAGTTTCAGACTTAAAAGCTATCTTGGTCCAGACAGAAAAAAGGGAGCAGAAGGATCTGGAATATCCCTTGGGGACCACCAATACACAGGGAGAAAAGAGCAGCCCTTCCCAGACACTGGCACACCTGCAGGTGTTCAGGTTCAGCCCCAGCTGAAGGTGTTCAGGTTCAGCCCCAGCTGAAGGTGGTCAGGTTCAGCCCCAGCTGAAGGTGGTCAGGTTCAGCCCCCAGCTGAAGGTGGTGGTCAGGTTCAGCCCCCAGCTGAAGGTGGTGGTCAGGTTCAGCCCCCAGCTGAACCTCACACTTGAACGCAGGCAGGCTGTGGACAGAGAGCTCACTGCCCCTTCCTGTGCTCCAGCCAGAGCCCTGCAGGCTTTCCTGGCCTGTACAGAGACTTCTGAGGAGCTTGCCGACAAGTCTGCTACAAGGTAAGGAAAACGAAGAACATAATTCTGTCCCAGGTAGCCTCGCAAGCAAGCACGTGATATGGCCAAAGTCAATCTAGAAATCAGAAAAAGAGAAGCATTCCCTCTTCGAGGAGCTGCGAGCGTGCTTCTCGGCACAGTTTCTCTGCCCTCTTGGAGGGCTGGGCACATTGCTACTGCCTGGGCTTCCTAAGGATGGAGAAGGACGATCATTCTTGCTTTTACTGAGAAAAAAGGTGCCTCTGTTGTATGTACTGCTCAGCACCGGGCAGTGGTGCTGCCTCTGGCACAGTGCAGCTGCCGGGTAGGACACAGAGAGGTACAGACATAGGAAGCAAACCCAAAGACAACATCAGATCTGGTGATCATTCGAAACTTTTTCCTTGCTGTTTGGGAGTTCTCCCATTTTTCAGAAGTGGGTATCTTTTTTTTTGTTCCCCTCGCTTCAACACGCTTGCGTTTTGCTGCAACACATTTCTTACAGCACTTGCACTGTTTTTTTCCATGAATTCTTTTGCACACATATGTTTATTGCACCTATGTTAACTGCAAGCAGACAGAGCTACAAATCGAGATGCTGGTGCCAAACAATCCAGCCTTTATAGCTACTGAAACCTACTTTAAAACCTCTGAAAAGCTAATCTTGGTAATAAGCCCTCCCTTTCCAACAAGAAATGCCTCAAGAACCTGCAGACGGTTTTCACTGTTACTTTGCCTTTCAGCAATTTCATCCTTCCCTTGGAATTAATTATCTGACATAAACATTATTTAATTGCTTTACCACAAGGCTGTTTTCAAAGGAATTTCCC